GCGGCTTGGTCCAGCGGTGGACGGGACCTGACTTGCCGCGCAACGCCTTCTTCAGCCAGGACGAAAAAGCCTTAGATCTGGCCGACCCAAGTCTGCGCTCTTCAGTCTCAGCAGCTCGACCGCAGAAGTCACCAAGGAACTGCAGCATGTTGCAATAATACACAGGTGGCTGTGCCGATATACACGTGATGATATGCACAAGGTCGTTCACTAGGTACTTAGGCATCGACATGCGAAGTCTACCATCCTTCCCATGCCCACCCATAAAATCAACTAAGTGCGCCCGAATACGTGTGCATAATATAGTGTTATTGCACTGGTATGCGTGACGCAGATCATGAACGCGCTGCTGCAACGTACGAAGTGCACGTGATAAGCGTGTGCCACTAGGCTGCTGCCGTGCCAAAGCGCCTCCTGCAGTGCTGTGCGCATACCGTGGGCCATCAGCGCGGCCCGAAAACTTGCTAGGCTGCCCGCCTGTGTCGAAGAGTGGGAGCAACTCAGCCTCCACTCCCTTGTACAAATCTGCAGCGAGCCCGTCCAAGCGTTGGGCGTGACCTGCAGCGTCACCGAAACCTAAACTTGCGTCACTACGCATGAGCTGTGGCCATTCTACATCAGGTAGGCCACGATCAGCATAGGCCACCTCTCCATCCTCATCGTCGTCGTCCGTCACGGGCGTCACGACAGGGTACACCGGGAGAAGTTGGGGCCCGAGCAAACGGCGAACTTTCTGAGCGCGAGGGCGAGGTCCAAGAGAAACCTGGATTGGATAGTGCACACGCGCAGGGTAGCCTCCACAAATAGTCGGAGTGCCCATCGCCGCCGCCAACGTGTCGCTCGCCAGCCAGAAATCAATCTTGGAATAATTGCCAGAACCTGGATCCCGACAAGTGCCTTCAGCCGTGGCAACCACCCTCGCATCTAGCTTCGTGGTGATGTACGACTGGTCGAGAACTTCTGGCTTAACATTCCAGTCACCTGCCACGACAAAGGGGAGCCCGTAGTATCGAAGGCATGAGCCTAGGCGTGAGATGCGAGTCGTATTCGCGCCGCCCAGCTTCAAGCCCTGCTCCAGATAAGAGGAGGCCACGACGAAGCCTCCGCGTGGTCCAGCACGAACCAGAACGGCCACACTGAAACCAGGTACAACAACATGATCACGAAGGCAGGCCGAAAGCTTGACCACCCCGATGTTGCTGCGCACAAAGAGCCCAACGCCTGCACGTGGCTTGTCTGACTCCGAAACAATTGCGTCCGAGATGAAAGGTTGCCATCCTTCCGCGCACACCATTCTTCGGCTTGTAGCCGTCCATTCCCATGCAGGTGCAGCTCCGGCACGGCAACAATAGATACATGTCGCATGTTGTCCAGAAGATCCTTGGCCTGGGGCCATCCTGAACTGTTGAAACTAACCATCATCAGCGGCTTGCGTCGCGAACCACGAAGGCCTCGCCGCTGACGGTGAGCTGGCTGATCGCTGGACCAAGTCATTGAAGATAGCCTCTCGCCACTCTTCGTAACAGCAACCTGCACAGCTGCAGAGCCATCATCAGTGCTCGGTGGTCGGTACCCTCTGGCCGCAGGCTGGGTGGGCAGCGCTGAGCAGTGCGTACCATACGGCCCCATTTGGACCGCAGGTCGGTACCCTCTGGCGCTGCCAAGTCCCTTCTGCACGGCTGAGCAGTGCGTATCACCGAGCGATGGCAAACTAGTAGTGCCTGGATTAGCCGATGCTGAGGCCGAGATCCTAGGGTCACCCGACAGTGCATCCCGCTGAGAAAGTAATGAAGGCTGGTCAGCACGCAGTAGCTCATAGTCATCTCGACCTGGGTCGAAAGGCCTGATAGCACCGTCGCTGAACAACCGAGGCATGTCGAAAAACTGTACGTCGTTACCCAGCGTCGTCGTCCATGTCGGACTCGTCAGTCTCAGCAGCATCGTCGTGTGCGGCCAGAAGCTCGTCCCATGGATGTGTAGCTGGGATACCAGGACCAGAGGCCACAGCGGGCGGCGCATGAACCCGTCGGTGCTGAGCCAAGGCCGTCTGCAATTGGGTGACATGTGTGCTGAGCGATGCGCAGAGCGCTCCAAGGTTCTCGGGCGTGGTAGAAGGCGCTGCCTGCACAATCTGCTCCAAGCGCTCGAGAGCGCCCGACACGTTCCGATCACCACCTTCATCTGGAGCTGAACGCCCTGTAGCAAGTACTGCAGCACGTGCCGTGGTAACCTCTGAGTGAATCGTCGCCAGATCCGCCGTCGCAGACTGCAACTCAGCTGCTTTGGTGTCATACTCTGCTTTGAGCTTGTCCACCTCACTCTGCAACGCGGTAACCTCCCGAGTCTTTGCAGCCTGTCGATCCAGAGCACGGCGGAGAAGATCGTCAGGCGTACGTTGTGACCGCTCCGTGGCCTCGGCGGCCTGGAGCTCTTTACGTGCAGCGACCACCAAGCCACTGCTGTCATCAAGGCCCAGACGGCGCAAAGCTGCCACTGCCTTGCGCGCTCGAGTGACTGCCTCAGATGCCGATGGGTCCTCTGAGGCCTCCTTCTCTCTGTCATCGCGGACCTTGTCCTTGCCCCGCCCAGAAGACGGTGGCCTCGACGGTCGGCGCCGTGTGCGGTCTGGAGGTCCTGCGGGGTCTGGCTGACCCGACTTGTCCCTGCCGCACATGTAGCACCGTGCCGATGTGGCGAAGTTGCGAGCGTAACCACACTGACGAGTAGCAGTACACGACCAGCGCGGCTCACGCGGGTCATCCCGCTGCGATCCACGGCCCCCTTTGCCGCCTCCCATGAACTGGGAGCCGTGGTGTTGTGAAAGAAGATGACGCGCACGATCCAGGCGCAACAAATGTCGCGCTGTCTGACGTAACCGGCGCTGGCGTCGATGCCACGCAGGTGACCTGGACCTCGCTGTCGTCCTTGCCTCGCTCAGTCCGCTCCTGGGCAGACGCGAGGCAACAAGAGCGCCCCTGCCTATCGCGCGCACGGGGCCGCGGGCACGGGGCTGGGCGCAGGCAAAACGCGACACGGGGAAAGGCCTCCCGTGCCTCAAGCCCACGCCTAGGGGGAGGAGGAGGAGGAGGAGGAGGAGGAGGAGGAGGAGGAGGAGGAAAATGCCCTGTGGCCTTGCCCCAACAAAAAACTACATAATCGAAACTGGCGGCACGAAGGCCCCGCGTTCCCCAGCGCCCCGTGGCAGTGCACGCATGATTCGAAGAAGCGCAGAAGGGAAATGTTAGGAATAAAACGAAGCCAGGACAAGGATGACATCGGGTAAGGATACAGTTAACCAGTATAGTAAGGATGCGCGATAAGGATGCAAGGGCCTTGGACGCCCATTTCGAAGCTTTTCGAGCGGGGCGCGGCCAGCGAAAGCGACAAAGGATGGACCGAGGAGGCAAGGATGCGAGGGTGCGCTTGGGAAGGTTGCCCATCCTTACTATGCGGGTTGACTGTACATCGAGAATCTCTGAGATCTGGCGGCTCTGGAAGATGTTCCAGGCGCCGCGGCCTTCTCAGAGCGTCCCGGAATGCTCAGAGAGCGTTCCGGAACGCTCTGAAGCGCATTTGTCCTCGTCCTGGCCATGCCCGATGGGAGGCCCTTGGGATCGGGTACGAAGCCGCCAGATCCCGCGGGATGCTGAAGCAGCTCATGAGTAATGGCAAGGGGGTGGATCTTTCAGCCTTGAACGATCGGCGGCTTCTTGATCACCAGATCGTTCCATGTTGGCCGATGACGGGCCACTGCCGGCCTTCAACCCGGAGCGCCCGCGGCGGGGGTCGCCGCCGCTTCGGCACGACACGAGCCTGCCGCAGAGCGGAAGCATAGAGTAACGCGTCGAGGTCATACCCTGGAGAACGGTGGTTGGGGGATTTGTGGACTGGTGCACCCCTCAGCTCGGGACTGTATTACCGAGCGCGGTAGCCGATGTGTGGGGACGTGCAAGATCCTCCCATGGGCCCCCACCGCTGCTGATAGAAGTAAAGGGGCGGGGCGGTCGTCGGCAATGAGCTAGGCTCGAGAGCTGATCGTTGTCGGGACAGCGCGGGCGGGTCGCAAAGTGAATCTTCGGTGGGTCGGCGGGCGAGTCGGGAGGGTCGCCGGGTGGGGCCGACAAGAAGAGGGAAGACCACGCGCGCAACAGCGTGAAGCCGAACCGCCGAGCACCACACCGGCCACGGCCGTGGCGACGAGGAGACCCCCAAGAGGGGGAAACAGAAAAATAAAATTCGATCCTCGATCCTTGAACTTTCGACCCCTGCCGTGATTGTGCAAGACAGCTCGGCCCCCTCTAGTTCCGGCCCAGTTTTCCCCGGCGGCCACCGTGCCAGCGTTGAGCTGCACTGTCAATGCCTCGCTCTCCTGGGGCTCTACCGTGTCCTTGCTCGTTGCGTCAGGTTCGTTCGTGTCGACTTCGGCGTTGGTTTCCGAGCGCCCCCTTGCTCGAGGGCCTACGAAAATTTCGGGATAGAGACCCGTTCAGCCTCAAGAGGCACCCGCGGGGGCCCCTGGCGATCGACAGCATCGGGAAAGTCAAGGAACGCCCTGAGGTGCAGAGGGAGGCGAGGAGGAGGAGGAGGAGGAGGAGGAGGAGGAGGAGAGGGAGGAACGAGGAGCGGCCAAACTTTATTAGAAGAGCACACGCACGAAGTCCTCGGAAGGAGAGGCCGACAGAGCGAGAAGCTAGTCTCCCGTCCTCCCTCCCCCATTCCTCCTTCTGCTCCCCGTGCGCCCCCTCCTCTGTATACCTCCCCCATTCCTCCCCCTTTCCCCCTCCGACCCTCCTCCTCCTCCCGAGGGCAGGTCGCCACCCCACCGCCTGGGAACGCCCCTGACTGGACCCCCCCACGTTGCCCTCTTCTGCGCCCCCGGCCTCCGACGACGGCACGCGCGCTTCTGGGGCGCGCCTGCCATGCCCTCCGCTCGGGTCCTCCCGGGAAGCCGAGGCCCCCGCCCTCCGCGCAGGGTTCGGGCGGCGGTCCGCGGGAGGGGCCTGGAGCGGAGGCCCGGGCATCCCGACCAGCGGCGGCACCATGGGCGGGCGCGACTGGGTAGAGCTTCGTCTCTCGCGTAGCGGCAGAGCCTGGCGCCACGCCGCGTGCACCCAAACCTCCAACATCAACAACAGCAAATTTGCTGGTGGCATAACTTCATCGCAACCGCTGATCACCGTCGCCGACACCATCGGCACTAGTCCCCGTCGCCTCGCCATCATCACCATCATCAATCACCTGGGCCCCCAACCTCACCACCGTTCCGCTCACTGTGGCTGGCATTCAACAGTTTGACAACCGCGAGCAACAACACATCGCGGCGGGACTGGCACTGCTTTTCTAGTGTCGGACATTCCCGCACCCATAACTTCAACACACACTGCTCCGTACAACTGCCCGCTATCAAACGTTACTGGTGCTGCTTCTGCGGATGTTGGTACACATCACGCGGCTGGTAGAAACGCGACGCGGGGTGCCGTCAGAAACATATGATCCACAGCAGCGGTGGCTGTGCTACCTGCACGTATTCGGCAGCCAATCCAGCAGTAGTAGATAGCATTGGCAGCAGGAGTGGTAGCAGCCACAGAGGAGGCATCGGCAACACCAGTCGCAAGTAACATTTGCCGCTTGAGTCATTGCAGCTGGAACTACTTCACGTGCGCTGGCTGATTGTTTCCAAAGGTCATGCGTACACTGCTCCGCGGGTGTACCAACCCCTATCGGAACACAACAGGTGTACACGAACACCTTTTCTGCCCGCCCAGGGGCCCTGAAAGCTGGGTATCGCAGGAGGTTTCCGTGGCCATCTACTTAGCAGCCGCAGTGGCGCTGTCCCGGTGGCGACGGCGCAGGCCCTCTTCGGGGGTTGGCCAGCCGGTTCCGCGGGCCCCAGCCTGCCTTGCCCACGCCGACGATGCCAGGGTACCCTGGGGGCAACATCGGTGTATACCCCAAACCCCTTATCAGGACACAACTATGCGTATACACCGAAAAGTGTAAACACCAATCAAGCCAGATTGGTGTATACACCCCACCCAGTAAACAACGAGTGCCAATATACACCGAAAGTGGTATACACCCATCACCTGGGCTGGGTTTCGCCGCCGGGGACGGGGGTGGCTGGGGTCCGCGGAATCGGGCTCATCCCTGGTGGGCGAATCACAATGAGCTTGCACATGTGCGTTTGCGCGCACGCAACCACGCGCATGGATTCACGCGGCGCGGGAAGACCAAGAGTGAGCCAAATTCGACCAAAACAAAAACTGTTAGCGATGGGTAGTGGCTAATCCATTCCCATGACACAGACACGGGATCACCACAATGTCGTCTCCCGGGTGCGATCATCAACACAAGTAACAAGTACTAATCTGCCCTCGACGTACTTGACGTGTTTACGGGGTGTGCCTATCCACCCACAAGATGCTTCAGTGCTTCAAGAGCTCTGCACATCCACCTCCAAATTTCTTAAATGTCTCAAACTCATGAATGATCGACGACCCCGAAACTCATCATTATCACAGGGTGCCATTCTTCTCCGTCGTCCCCCACTCATCTCACCATTCTCAACCCTTCTCATTCCCACTTCCCCGCTCTCCGTCTTACTCATTGTCTTCCCCCCCACATATGCCCCACCAGAAGACGACGACTTTCGCCCAAAGATGCTCAAGAGTACCCTTCCTCCTCTCCAGGTCGCACATCCTCCGTGGGAGAATGTACAACCATCTAGTTCCCAGGCTGTAAGATTCCGTCCGCATGCGAACGTCGACAAAACAAACAAATACCGCTATCAAACTTGAAACATGTCCCCACGGCCCCCGAACAAGGCGCCACGCTGCTGCCACGAGGCCCCTGACAGGCCTCCCCAAAATCCAACAAGCCTCCCAACAAGGCCTCTTTCCCACGACCCACCCAGTCAAAGGCCACTGAACACTGAATGCCACATGGCTGGCGGCATGAGCGAAGCAATTGAATTCGGCGGGCTCCCTGCGGGCCCTGGCCGTATTAGCCGTCGACGAAGATGATGGAATGCTAATGCCATGGAGGAGGGAGAGAGTGAGAGAGAGAGAGAGGAAACAAAATACAAAGAGAGAGAAAGAGAGAGAGAGATAGAGGAAGAGATAGAGAAGCATGCATGAGGCATGCTAGGAGGGGTTTCGCCCATTCCGCCAGCCGAAGACGACTCGACGAAGCCAGTGTTTATCAACTGGACCCTAATAGGTGGTCTTTGGGCGAGTGAGATGGCCCCCCTATAACCCCCCCCCTCGGGGGGTCGGCAAAAACCCGAGGGACGAGCCCAGTCCGGAAAATGTCGGCCAGATCGACATCATCCTGGTGTCCTCCGAATGGGCGGCATTGCTCAGGCATGACTGCCTGAAGCGACCGGGGACGGGCGTTGGCATTGCACCACTTTCTCCTGACCGCCGACACCGACGTCGCTCTCCGCGGCAGCGCGGCCACCGCCGCCGCAGAGCGACCCGACTGTCGCTCTCTCCGGTCACCGCCAATGGCCGCTGGCTTCGCCGAGGCCTTTGCGCGCAGGATGGACGGAGCCTGCGCCCGAGAAGGCGAAGCGTCTGCCAGCGAGCTCGATGCTGCCACGACGGCCGCCTTTCGCCGCGCCGCAGAGCAAGTTGTGCCGACGGCAACGCTGACTCCGCGAAGGCCATGGATATCTAGCCGCACCCTGCACCTCATCCAGCAACGCTCTGACGCCAGGTTGGCCCACGACCACAGTGCTGAGAAGAACCTTGGTGTCGCGGTCAAGAGACCTGTCAAGGAAGACCGCACCGCTTGGCAGGAAAACTTGCTCGCCACGTGGGACTGGAGCCAGGCGCGACGACTTCGCAAAGGTTTCTGCCCGCAGCAAGGCCGGCTCCGCAACCGCGAAGGGCGAGTCGTCGACTCTGAGGCCCGGGCGGACACCATGGCGGAGTATTCCAGCGAGGTGCAATGGGCTGCTCGGGACACCACGGAGATGCGCGAAGAAGCACTGGGCCCGGCCCTCTCTGTTGATCTCGGCCCCATACCTGACAGCGAGGCGGAGGCAGCGGCCCGAAGGCCGAAAGATGAGGTGGGGCAGAGCGTGCAGCTCGGGCGCCGTGCCTGGAGACCTCTGGAAGGCCGTCGCTGCGCCGGGGTCGCCAGCGAGGAGATGGGCGACGGCGCCCTGCTCGAAGTGCTGGGAGGATGGCGTGGTCCCAGACGCCTGGCACGAGTCGCTCGTGGTCGCAAGTTTCAACAAGGGCGACGAATCTCTCTGTGAGAACTACAGGCCGATCTGTCTTCTGCAAGCTGGCTACAAACTTTACGTTGCCGTACTACTGCGACGCCTTCAGGCAGCCGGCGCCGAGTCGCGCGTCTGGCCTACACAATTTGGACTTAAGTCGCAGAGCGGAACCACAGACGCCATCTCCATGGCGAGGCGATTCCTGGACGACGCGTGGGAAGCGAAAGACGCTCATCTTGTCTTCCTCGCGCTCGACTGGGCCAAAGCCTTCGACAGAGTTGACCCTGCGGCCTTACTGCGGGCTCTGCGCCGCTTCGGGCTGCCGGACAAGATGCTGAAGGCCGTGGGCGCGATCTACACCGGGCGCCGCTTCGCTGTGCGAAACGCTGGGCAGACATCTATCTCGCGAGAGCAGAAGGCTGGTATTTGCCAGGGACTCTTTCCCCTTTCTTATTCGCCATGGTCATGACGATCCTCCTGACCGATGCGAAGCATAACTTGGGAGCCTGCGGACGAGGTCAACGACCTCGTCTACGCAGACGACACTCTCATCGTGGCCGCGGACGAGGACAGGGCCGCCGAGTACATGCGGGCCTTCTCGGATGCCGGCGCCAACTACGGCCTGCACTACAACTGGCGGAAGCTTGAAGTGCTGCTGGTACGGTGCCAAGCGTCTATCTCGAAGCCTGATGGCCAGCCGATTGTCCAGAAGGAGAGCCTCGTGTACCTGGGCGCAGTGCTCTCATCCAACGACAACATCGACGATGAGCTTTCGCGAATGCTCGGAGCGGCGAGGTCTGAGTTCGACAAGCTAGCTCGTATATGGTCTCATAGCACTCTGTCCGCGTATAAAAAAAGAATATATGTTCAACGCGTGTGTCATTTCGAAACTTTTGTATCGCCTTCACACCGCGTGGTTGAAAAAAACAGAGATGTCCAAATTAGACGCTTTTCAAGCATGCTGTTTGGGCAGGGTTCCAGGTATTCCGCATTCTTATATAAGTCACGTGACACGTTGCTCGGTGCTTGGCCAGGCGAGGCAAAGCCCGTTGAGCCAGATCTTGCTGGAGCGACAACTTAAACTTCTGGGCAAGATCGCGCGCATGGGCGACGGCCACCCCGTGCGCGGATGTCTTTTCAAGCTTGGAAGCGCGGAACTTCGAGATCCATCCTCAGTCCGCCGGCGCGGCCGCCCCAGACAGGTGTGGGCGCGCGAGGTATATGAACACGCTGTGCATGCATGTGTACAAAGACAAGTCAATTGGTCAGAGGTTGCTGCCATGCCGGCAAGCGTCTGGAAGAGCACGGCGCGAGAGTACAGCCGATCTCGCTAGCCCCCTTCCGATGCTCATGTGCGCGTCAAACGGCTTCGAAATGATAAAATATTGGACCATGCACTCCCCCAGCCGTCGTGGAACCGCTTCGGGGAACACGTGGCGAAGGAAAAAGGAAAAAGGAGGATGAGAAAAAAGGATGAGGAGGGCCTCTTGGAGGCCTCTTGGGGGCCTCCTTGGGCCTCCTAGGGGGCCTTCAGGGGTCTTCTTGGGGGCCTCTTTGGCTGTCTTACGGCGTTCCTGGCCCGCCTGACGCCGTCGGATGCCGTCTTCGGAGCCTGACTGGGCCGTATTGGGGCCTTTCTGGCTTGCTTCACGGCCGTCTTGACAGCCAACTTGGGCGTCTTGGAGGCATCTTGGGCCGTCTCGGTGCCATTTGGGGGCCGTCTTGGGACCCTCTTGGGCCGTCGTGGGACCATCTTGGAAGCCTCTTGGGCGATGCTGGGGCAAGATTGGGAGCCTCTTGGGCCGTCTTGGGCCGTTGGAAGGCCGTTTTGAAGCAAATGCGAACATCTACTAAATCCTATTGGAAATCAAAAACGTGTTGCCTCTTCGGGCCTTCCTGGAGGCCCGTCTGGAGGCCTCTCTGGCCGTCTTGGAAGCCTCTTGGGCGCCTCTTTTCCCCACTGCCGCTGCGCGGGGCCCTCCAGCGCGCGCCCCTCGCACGAACAAGCCAAAGAGGCGACCGACGCGGCGCGCGCGCGCGCGCACCCCGCGCACGCCGCCGCCGCACGACGCCGCCGCGCGGCGTGCCCGGCGGCACGTGGCGCCGCGGCGCCCCCGCGCACGCTGCGGCGCCGACGCCTGCGGCGCGCCCGGTGTGGCCGCCCTGGCTGGCCGACGCCCCCAGCGCGCCCCGTGTCCTGCCGAGCGCTCGGGCACCGGGCGCCCCGGGGGGCTCCCGGCAGGACGCCGCCCCGGAGCCCCGCAAAGCGGATGCCGGCGGCTCCCTCGAGCTATATCTGCACCGTCGGGAGAGCGCCAGCCGGGGCGGAGGACCCGCCCCGCAGGGCAGCCCGTCGAGGCCTCCGCAGGGCCACGCGCTGAACCGGCCACACCGCGTCGGACGTCCTGAGCTGCTGGTGGGCCGCGTGCAGCGCCTCGCTGCCGAGAGCACCGTCGGCCGCCGGGGTCAGCCGTGCACGCCGGGCGCCGCAGGCCTCGCAGCGCCTGGGCGCGCTCTGCCTCGTGCTCTGCCCTCACGCCTCGTCGTGCGCTGCACCGTCGGCGGCACGCACGGGCAGGGGGGAGGGGGGAGGGCTTCGCAAACCTCCTCGCGTCGTGGAAAAAAACACGACGGGAGGTTCTTCCACATCTTCGGTGTCTGGGGGCCCGTACCGGGCCCCGGGGCCGTCAGAAAACGATTCAGGATGAGAAACCGGTCCCAGGGAAGGGGACCAGACGTCTGGGGGTCGACGTTAAAAATCACGACGTCGGGGGCCTGGTTTTTTGGAAGGGAGCTGCTTCTTAGAAGACCCTGGCCTGACACGTAGAGAAGGCCCGCACCTTCTGAGAAGCAGGGGTGCTTCTGAGACGCTTGCCCCCTTCCCCCTTACCCCACCTCTCTGCGCGTGGCCGAACCAGCCCCGCATCCGCCAGGGCTTCAGCAGGGAACGACCGTCCCGGCATTCCTATAGGCCCACCACATGTTCTACGAAGCACACACTGTTCTTAGAACCTGAGACCGACGTGTTAAAACAAGGCGGTCCCAGCCAGAACTGTCCCAAGAAGACCTCCTGGAAACCACAAAAGGCTCTTGGAACATCGCTTGGTATTATCGGGCGAAGAACGGTATAAGATAAACTTTTTCGCTGTCGGGGGCGCCTGTCCCAGGGCGGCTGGAAAGTTTATACCCTTACGGTGGCACCGTAGGGGTATAAACTTTCCAGCCGCCCAGGGACAGGCGCCCCCGACAGCGAAAAAGCTTATTCTATACCGTTCTTCGCTCGCTGATGGTAGGCTGCAGTCATGCCAGGACGCTTCGCAGCTGCTTGTGCAGGGCAGCGGCGCCCTCCCGCAGAGGCTCAATCCCGGTGCAGCCCCCCGCCGCGCCCGAGCAGGCTCGGCGCGGGCGCCGGCGGCTCCCGGCCCCCGCCGCGCTGCGCGCCCCACGCGCCGCCGCCCGCGGCCGCCGGGGGCGGCCCGCGGTCGCCCCGGGGCGGGCCCGCCCGCGGCTGCGGAAGAAGGAAAAAACGCCACGGTGCAGTCGGGGCGTTGACCTAAGGAACCTTGAATAAGGAACGAGGCCCCTTTTTTCCATAGGTTAGACTTCGATCCCCCTATCGAAGACCAGAGGACAACATGAGGCAAGCTGCGAAACAATTGAGGAACACGGAGCCCCTCCCCAACGAAAAGGGTTCCTTGTCCAGCGCCCCGCTGTAGGTCTGCGCGGCGTCGGCGCGCGCAAAGGTCTTGACACCGCGTCGATCGGATCGATCGCGGCCCCGATCGTTCAGGGTTGAATTCCGTGGGGCCCAGTTGCGTTGCCGCGTCCCTCGGTGCACCCGCGTCAGGCTTCAAACTCGAAAGCCTTCGCCGGCGTCGCAGGCGCGCCAACGCCGCGTGAACCTACCGTACAGTGAGCGGCTTGAATAAGTAACACTTATTTTTCAAGAGGTGCTCGGTCGTTCCTTAGGCTCGCATGCGATGTTTATTGCTCCTTATGCGTTATCTATTATGTTTCGTTCATTATGCGTTACTCCATGGAAAAATGGACTTCGTTCCTTATTCATCGTTCCTTAGGTCAGGCCGGTGACTGTAAACATCAAACTTTTGGCGCTCCGCGCGGGCTTCTCGGATCCGCGCTGGGCCCCCCTCCATGGCGCGCAGAGCGCGCCAGGGGCGACGCCCGAGGCGCCGCCGGGGGGGCCCCCAACGCGGACCCAAGAAATCCGCGCGGAGCGCCAAGAGTTCAATGTTTTAGCTGCTCGTTCTGGGGACCTTCCAGGAGCCACTCGCTCCGCTCGTGCGCCGGAGCTGCGTCGAGCGTCCGTCGATTCGAGTCGATCTTGAGTCGAACCTGAGTCGAACCTGAGTCGAACCTGAGTCGAAGTTGAGTCCAACTGGGGTCGAACTAGAGTCGAACAGATCCGTTAGGTGGGCTCCAGAAAGGTCCCCCAATGGGCGAGCAACGACATATGTACATGTACGCCCTCCGCGGTCTTGCCTGCACGAACGTCCGCGTTGACACGCACTCCAGGGGAAACTAACCGCGTACGTGTACATATGTTGCTGGCCTCTGACCCAAACGAGCATCTAGAAAGTTTATGGCCTTTTCCCTTCTTCGAGGCTGGGCGGTCCGCAACGCGACGAAGAACCGCCGGGACTTCTCGCGGATGAGCCGGCGCAGCGCGGCGGCGCCCAGGCACAGCTCGACGGCCGCCAGCGCCGCCCGCACGACCCAGCAGGCCCGCTCGAGCGGCAGCACGCAGGGCCTCTCGGGGAGGAGGCTGCAGAGCTCGGGGGTGAGCTCCAGCTCCGCGTTGAGGCCTCCGAGCTCGGAGGTCAACACCTGATGAGCCTGTTTTCCACCACCACCACCATAAGTTGGGGGGGGGAAGGAGGAGGACGAGGAGGAGGAGGAGGAGGAAGAGGAGGAGGAGGAGGAGGAGGAGGAGGAGGAGGAGGAGGAGGAGGAGGAGGAGGAGGAAGAGGAGCCCCCCCCTCCAACTTATGGTGGTGGTGGTGGAAAACGCGCCCATCAACACCGTCTCGCCGGCCAGCACGAGAGAGCAGAGGCCGGAGAGCACCACGAAGAGCGACATCTCCGGCACCCCCTCGCGCACATTGCCCGCCGTCCCGAGGTACAGGCGGGACGGCTCCAAGACGAAGCACACAAAGAAGTTCGCAGCCATGAACACGAGCGGGATGTCTCCCTTGTTGAGCAGGGACCGGCCGTCCCGGCATTATCATAGGCCTACCACGACATGTTCTTAGAATCCGGTAATGTTCTAAGAACAAAAGCAATATTCTTAGAGCATAAAGCCGATGTGTTAAGACAAGACAGTCTCAGCCAGACATACTTTCAGAACATGTCATGCAAACCACAAAAGGTTCTTAGAACATTATGAGGTGGGCCTATAGGCGAGCCAGGACGCTTCGCCACTGCTTGACCTTGAGCCGGCGCCACTTCACCCACCCAGTGTAAATGGTGAGCAGAGCGAAGAGCATGTCGTACCAGCCGCTGAAGAAGAGCAGCAGCTGCAGCCGGACGCAGCGCGTTGCTGAGGGGTCCAGCACCATGGCGTCCGCCGCCGGCGCGGGGCCCAGAGATGCGGACCCCGCCATCTTCGCAGGCACGACCATACAGTAGGGGCTCGACCAGAAGAAACCGTCCACAAGGAACCCAGCCCTGAGACCCCGTGATGTCTATTGATTTTTGCTTCGGGAACGTCACGCTCTCCATCGCAAAACCACCGAAACCCAAGCAACCCAGGGGGGCACCCTGAAGGCAAGTAGGGTGTTTCTTGGCAGGGGCCTCCACTGTAGAGGAGGAGGAGGAGGAAGAAAAGGAGGAGGAGGAGGGAGGAGGAGGGAGGAGGAGGGAGGAGGAGGAGAAGGAGGGAGGAGGAGGAGGAGGTGCAACCCAGGGCACCCTGAAGGCAAGCAGGGTGTTTCTTGGCAGGGGCCGCCACTGCATAGTGTAAAGAGCCGCAGCAGCTTGAGCCAAAAATGCCACGGGGGGCCTCTCGGGTTGTGCTGGGCCCTCTTGGAGCCATCTTGTGCCGGCCTGTCCGCCTCCTCCTCCTGCCTCCCCCTCCTCCTCCTCCTCCTGCTCCTCCTCCTGCTCCTCCTCCTTTTCCTCCTCCTCCTTTTCCTCCTCGTCCTTTTCCTCCCATCTTGGGGCGGTAGTTTTTGTCCATGCCCTTGTCGTCGAGACGAGAGGCGTCGAATGTTCGGCGGCGTACCGATGGGGAAGAGAGGGGGGGCGGGCAGTCTCAGAAGGCGGCGAGGCTTGTCATGAGTCGTCCAGTCTTTTTTGTGAAGCGGAGCAGGCCTCGACAGCTTCTCACCAGGCTGTATGCTCTCTGAGCCTTCTAAGGCCCGCCCCCTCTGGATGCCCAAGGCCCTACCTCAGGCACAAGAATCCCGATGGGCCCCGCGCAGCTGCGACGGCGGCCGCGCGAGAGTTTTTCAGGGCCAGCGGGGACCGCGAAGTGCGGAGAATGCCAGCCATGTAGGCCGTGGCGGGTTACCCCTGCGCGTCAATCCCGATCCTCTGCGGTGGTGGGAGGGGCTCAGAACAAGGCGGTCGACGGCCCAGCTGGACCTCCCAGAGGACAAGCGCTGCACGAGAACGGGGCGGAGCATTGCATCACAGACAGGCAGCGCAGTGCTCTGATTCAGAGAGACGGCGGTTCTCGCGAGGGAGACTGCGGCAACATATTTCATCGTCGGGCCCTTGTGCCAGCGGCATTGCGATGACGATGGCGATTGCTTCTACGAGCCATCGGCTGCGCAGGGCACGTGTCTGGAATCACCCACGACAGTCTTCGGCGCAATACATATATATATATATATATATATATATATATATACACACATGTATGTATAGCGTTGGTCGAGGCTTCCCGAGAGGCCGCTGCCCCTCTTGCAAATTTGCGCAGGAAAGAACCGAAGCAAAAGGGTTCTTGTCATGCGGCAGGGAAAATTGAGCAAGGGCCGACCGTCCGGGCATTCCTACAGGCCTACCACGACATGTTCTCAGAACCCGAACATGCTCTAATCACACAACAATGTTCTTATAACACAAAGCAGATCTGACAAAACAAGACAGCCCCAGCCAGACCTGTTCTATGAACATCTCGTGCGAACCACGAAAAGTCCTCAGAACATTCTCTTTGGTGGGCCTTTTTAGGCAAGCCCGGACGCCTCGCCACTGCTTGAGACAAGAAGTGGTAACACCCAGGGCCCCACGCGGCGGCGACGGCATCGGGGATCCTCTGACCCAGGTCAATCCAGACCTGGGTCAGCCAGGCCTTGCAACATCCTGCAAGATCCTGCAGGATCCTGCACCCAAACCGAGATCCTGCAGGATCCTGCGCCCAAACCAGGGTCAGTGCGACCCTGGCCCTGCAGGATCCTGCAAAATCGGGCGCTCTGGCTGACCCCCGTTTGCGTTGACCCCCGTCTCTTGAGCCCCCGATAAGGCATCGGGCGGAAGGGGGCGGGGGGGAAGGAGGGGGGTCTGGTTCCCGAGCTCGACTGTTTGGGACCGTGCGTCCCCTGGGTGAGGGACTCTACCTGCTCGAAACGGGCGCCAAAAAACACAGCCAAGATCTACTCCATGGGGTGGGGGCGCGAGGGCCCGCGCCGATCGGCAAAATCTGCATAAAATTGCACCAGAGAAAAACCCCAATCAATGGATGGTTTTCGCTGAAGATCGACCTGGAACCCGGGAGCCCGGGAACCAAGAACCCACCGACATCGTCCCGGATCCAATAACCGGGAACCCGGGAACCCGGGACCGGCAGCCTGGGAACCCAGCCTGCTACCAACATCGACGGGAAACTTTCGCCAAATCCTTCAACTTCCGCTAGAACCCCTTCAAGGCAAGCAATGGTTGGGGAAAGATACCGATACGGCTACCTTCCCTCGTCACCACTGCTGGATTCTCCCTTGAGTTCTTGTCAGGACGCACCCAGGAACCCAGCCTGCTGCCAAAATCGACGGGAAACTTTCGCCAACTCTTACAACTTCCACTGGGACCCCTTCAGTGCAAGCACTGGTTGGGGAAAAACGCCCACCAAGGGCAGGGGGCCACATGCGAACCCGACCCCTCCCCCTCAAAAATCGTGGGGGTATAGGGGTAGGGTTCGCACGTGGCCCCCTATTCACCGTCCACCTGGAGAGTCTTTCTTTTTGGGGTCCGACGTTAACCTGGGTTGTCGGGCCCGCCCGCCCCGCCCCCCCCGGGATAACCTGACCTTGTCGGTCGAGGGGGTGCGCAGTGCTGGTGCGCGCGAGCAGGCGTGGGGCTGCCCAAGGCAGAACGCTTACGGCGTGGTCGCACCCGGGGCCCCACGCGGCGGCGACGGCAACGGCGAGCGGCGTGCCGCGCCACCGGGCAGTGCCGCGTGCGTGCGGGCGGCGCGCCCCGGAGGGGAAGGCCGAGGGGGGCGAGCCTGCCCAGGAGGCTCGGAAGGCCTCCAGCCTCCTCGGAACAAAGGGGCCCTGGGACGCATGAGTAAATCTATGTGTATATATATATATATATATATATATATATATATATATGTATATATATATGTATATATATAGATATACACACAAGCCTGCAAGGTTTCTCCCCATATTTTCCTATATGTTCCCTGGGTGTTCGTCTTCCCCCCCCTTCCCACATTTTCCCATATTTTCCTGGTGAGCGCTTGTTTATTCGGCGTCGCGGCTTTGGGCGGAAGGGGGGGGGGAGGGGGGGGTCTGGCTCCAGACCTCTGCTTGGTGCGACTGTTTGGGACCGTGCGTCCTCTGGGGGAGACCCCACCAGCTCGAAACACATGTCAGAAGACAGCCAAGATCTACTCCACGGGGGGCGGGGGAGTGGGGGTGCGAGGGCCCGTGCCGATCAGGAAAGCAATGAATAAAAAACGATCACCTGGGAGTCGACGGTCAACTGTGTCTCTGTGCGTTTTCCCCTCCCGAGAGAAGCTCTCCAGACCTTCTCCGAAGCCCCGAAACATTCTGAGAGAGCCTGGCCCCGCTCGCTTCCCCCCTCGGCGCGCCGCCAAGTGCGGGGACTGCCCTGGGCCCCACGCGGCGGTGACGGCGGCGAAGAATGCGGCGTCCAAGTGAGCGTTTTTTTTTCATTCGGCGTTTCGACATTGGGCGAAAAGGGGGGAGGGGGCGGTCTGGCTCCGAACAACTGCTCAGTGCGACAGTCTGCAGGAGTGCTGCCTCCGGGGGAGACTCCAGCCGCTCGATGAAGGCGCCAAAAAACAGCAAAGATCCACCGGGGGCTTGGAGGCCCGCGCCGATCGGCAGAACAATGAATAAAGAAACGATCACCAAGGCAGATTCAGAATCTGGGAGCCGCTAGGCGCAAACAGTGCCCGGGGAACGACCCACCGCACCGCTGCCCTTCTCAGAACACCTTGCCGAGAAAGCGTTTCAGGACCAGCTGGCGGGAGAAGCTAAGCGCCAAGAATGTGTTGCTTAATGCCATGGCTCAACACCGTAACAAAAATATATTCCCCACCACGGGCCGTCAATACCATCACCAACGCCATGATCGCAACAACCGCCATCGCCAAAGCAGTCGTCGCCGCCATCATCAGCGTCCTCGCCCAGAAACGCGCCTGCGAGCTGTACTCCCGCGAAGAACCGGACACGTGGCCGTCGTCGAAGGACGATGGCGCGTTGGCTGTCAAATTCGTGACGCGCCTCGGCCGAACATCTCCAAGCCTTCTCCCACCAGACTACGGAACGCCATGAACTCTAACCACCAGGGGAGAAGAAAGAAGAGGACGACGACGAGAAGGGCAGGGAGGACGGAAGGAGGAAAAGACAGAAGATATGGACACGTGGGAGCGCACAATATGTGTGTGTGTGTGTGTGCATCTCTGGGTGCGTGCGCGTGTAGATGTGGGTTGGCGGTCTCTGCTCCCCCGTGCGTCTCACCTGGCTGATCGGCATGCCACGGCCCACGCGCGGCTCTCCTCCTCCTCCTCCTCCTCCTCCTCCTCCTCCTCTTCCTCCCTCCTCCCCCTCCTCTCTCCTCCTCCTCCTCCTCCCTCCTTCCTCCTCCTCCTCGTGGCTTCAGACTGATCACTTCGAGCATAGCCCGCAATCCCAATACACCGCTGGCACATCTCTTCTGCTGTGGCGGGGTCTTTCGCAGCGGTTACCTCCCATCTCTGCTGACCAGGAGGCGGGAGCTTTGGGTCGTGGGCTTGTGGCCGTGTGAGCACCCATCGCCACCTCTCGAGGGCGTGGGAATGTACCGACGAGATTGCCCTGACCGTCCGACGGCCTACGCACGTACGATACGCATTGCGCAACCAGTGTGCAGTATCGATCTCCGAAAAGCCTGAGAGCCCTAAAAAGCTTCGGGCACGTGTTGGAGGCCCCTAGATGGTCTGCCATTCGCCTTTGAGGGAAGCCCCGTTGAGCCTCGATGCCCCTGGAGGAGAAGCATGGGGACGTTGCCTGTCTTTAGTCTCCCTGGAGACCCTCAGGGGCTCCAGCAAGCCGCTGGTGGGAAGCCCTTCCTCTCCCAGGTGCGTTCTGACAAGAACTCAAGGGAGAATCCAGCAGTGGTGACGAGGGAAGGTAGCCGTATCCGTATTTTTCCCCAACAATTGCTTGCACTGAAGGGGTCCTAGCGGAAATTGAAAAATTTGGCGAACATTTCCCGCCGATTTTGGTGGCCGGCTGGGTTCCCGGGTTCCCGGGTTCCTGGTCTTTGGTTCCGGTCCGATTTCGGCTGGTTCCGGGTTTCCGGGTTCCCAGTTGATCTCCTTATCGATACTTTTATATATCCCATTTCAATCCATCAATTGATTGGGATTTTTTCTCTGGTGTAATATCCCCCTCTGAGCTGGAAACTTCCGTCAGGGTCAGGTAAGGCCTGTCCCGCTACAGGGGGATTTGATTTAGGAGGAAAAATTTCAGAAATACCCCCAAAATATTAGAATAATCTTCCAAACTAATCCCCAGACGACTTGATTAATTTTGACAATCAAGACTAATCCCCAAAACAATCGTTCCCGGACGATTTAATTATTTTTGCAGATTCCTCCTGTGGATGGACAGGCCCGACTTCACGCCAGGGGGCGGGGGGGGGGGAGCAGGCGCACGCGGAGGAGGAGGAGGAGGAGGAGGAGGAAAAGGAGGGAGGAGGGGGGGAGAGAGGATGAGGGAGGAGGGAGGAGGAGGGAGGAGGAGGGAGGAGGGAGGAGGGAGGATGGAGGAGGGAGGAGGAGGGAGGAGGAGGGAGGAGGAGGGAGGAGGAGGGGCCAGCGTCACAATGAGGTCGATTGCTCCTTAACGCCCTGGGCGAGCCGCTGCCGCACGTTGACGGGCGCGGGAAAACTGGGGCGGCGCGCCGGCCGCGCGGGAGGTCTGTAGCCGCCCGAGCGGCTCGGGCACACTCGAAACCCTGCCGGTCGGAGACCGCCCCGTCAGGCCCGCGCTTCCGGACCTGATGCAAGTGCCGATGAAGGTGGAAACGCATCACCAGAAGACGAGCCGCGTCCGTGCATTGGCCAACGAGGGCTAGCCGGGCAAGCATGTCCGCGGGAACAGGACGTCCTGAGACCCGGACCAGGAACTCGTCAAATCTGGGGCAGACGATGTAGTGGGAGAGTGAGTCGAAGGCTCCACCACAGCCGAGGAGACACCCGTGGTGGGGGTTCCTTAGCCTAGTGTCTGTGACCCACCCCCCAGTCCACGTCTTGAAGAAAGCCCAGCGCCATGCAGGGGGGAGGGAAGCGAGGAAGGAGCGAAGCGAATCAAGGTCGAGAGGGACGAGGGAGGCCGGGGGAATGGCAAACCATTTCTCCAGGCGCTTGCGCACCCTCGCAGCCAGGCCCGAGCGTCGATCGGGCAGCGCGAGGGCGCGCATCAGCGCGGCCTGAAGACGGTGCCGCCTCCCCTCACAGCGCCGCGCCTCGGCTTCCAGCGACGCGACCCTCAGGGCAATCTCCGAGCCCAGCAGCGTCGCCGCCTCCTCCAGGAGCATGGCAAGGGGCCTCGCTTCCCAGAAGCCCGGCCACGCGAGCCCTCGGCCGAGGGCCTCGAGCGAAAGGCACCGCGCTGCCGTCTCGCGGAGGGCCCGCGCCATCGCGCGCCATGTCACCAAGGTCTGCGTGGCGGTGCGCACGCGGGCCGCTGCGCAGAGGTCCCCAAGGAGGTGTATCGGGGTAAAAGCGAGCAGGTCCAGGGCCGAGAAATCCAAGAGTCCGAGCCAGCTGCCCGGCGCCCGCAGCAGCCGACAAAGCACGTGGTGCTCTGCCTTGGGCAGGCGCTTCGGCAGCGGGATGAGCTGCGCCTTGTACGAGGCGACCGCCAGGGCCCTCTCGTGGTAGACCTGCACCGCCGTCTGTGCATCGTAGGGGGCAGCGGCAATCTGCCCGGCGCGCCATTCCCACTTCTCCAGCGTTGGCGCCCACTGGAGGTCCGTCGACGCTGCTGGGCCCAGGAGGGCCCCGAGCGCCTTCGCCATCGGGGCGATGCGGAAGAGCCGCCACCGCTCGGAGACGGAGCCGAGGATCTGGCGCGCTTCCTCCTCCACCTCCGCCGAGAGGGGTGCCCAGAGGGGCACGCAGACGCACTTCTCCTTCAGGACCAGGTTGGCGAGCAGCGCCGAGGCCTTCATGATCCTCCCGACCACGCGAAGTCAGGAGGGAGGAGGAGGGAGGAGGAGGAAGAGGAGGAGGAGGAGGAGGAGGAGGAGGAGGAGGAGGAGGAGGAGCTTGCGCACGCGGGTCCCCCTGCCAGGCCCCGCTGTGGGGGAGCCGCGCAGCTGCCCGCCCCCCCCCCCCAGCCCCGGCAGGCTCCTGGAGGGGGCCTGCGCCCCCTGGTGCAGGGGGGGGGGGGGGGGGCTGCGCCCCCATCCTCCACCCTCCCCTCCTCCTCCCTCCCCTCCTCCACCCTCCCCTCCCCACCCTCCCCATCCTCCACCCTCCTTCCTCCCTCCTCCCTCCACCCTCCCCTCCTCCACCATCCTTTCCCCTCCTCCACCCTCCCCTCCCCTCCTCCACCCTCCCCTCCCCTCATCCACCCTCCCCTCATCCACCCTCTTGGTCGCCCGAATTCTCCGGGGAAGCTCGGGCTCGGATTCCTGAAAAACGAGCCCGAGTTAGCCCTGACCCGAGGTACCCCTGATGATTCGGGGCTCGGACCCTCCCCTCATCCGCCCTCCCCTCCTCCCTCCGCCGTCCTCCTGCGACGTCGCGCGCAGGGGGGCACCCCAGGTGAGGCTGGAGGCCTCCTTCGCTCTGGTAAGCCACGAGGTGAACTGCAAGACGCTGCCTCCCCCCCCCCCAGTGTCAGGGGGACGTAAGACCTGGGTACAGGGGACTCGGAAATCCCCGACGAGGTCGTCAAAAAAATGACGAGGCCGAGCCTGCATTTTGACGAGGCCTCCCGCTGCAGACATCCCATGAAACTCCTCCTCGTCAAAATCCGAGGCGCGGTCGTCAAAAAAGGATGGCGAACCCGAGTCCTGGCAAACCCGGGTCTGACGCTCCCCCGACAGTGTTCCATCTATCCATCCATCCGCGCGTCCGTCCGTCGATCCGCCGTCCTCCTTCCGCCCTCTACCCCTTGGCGTCCTCGGCATGGGGCCGAGCCGATCGCGGCAACTGCGTCCCGGTTTTTGCCGCACGGGGCCCTCGGAAGTCCAGGCCCTTTCCCCAGGGCGGGGCTCTCGTCCCTTGAGCAGGGACCGACCGTCCCGGCATTCATATAGGCCTACCACGAAAGTTTCCTAGAGCCCCCAAATGTTCCAATTACAAAAAAAAATGTTCTTAGAACGTAACCCCGATGTGATAAAACAAGCCAGTCCCAGCCAGAAGCGTTCTAAGAACACTTCGTGGAAACCACAAAAGGTTCTTAGAACATTGTTCGGCAGGCCTATAGGCGAGCCAGGACGCTTCGCCATTGCTTGCATCCCGAGCCGTCTTCGGATGGCCTTGGGGCCCGGCGAGGGCCCCCAAGGGGGACCCGAACACCGCCACAGACCTGCCGCCGTCGCGGTGGTGTGCTCCACGACGCGAACCGGCCCTGGGACCCGTCGCCGACGCACCGCCCTTGGCCCTCCAGAGTCCCCTGGGGGTCCAGGTCCTTGGTCGCTCATGGCGCGGCCCGGGTTCTGCTTGGGCACCCTCGCCATCGGTGCACTCACTACCTGGAAGTCGGGCCTGTCTCTCTTCAGGAGGCATAAATCAGAAATGGTCAAGAGATGGTCAACAAATAGACCGGGGACGATTCTTGGACAATTGTTGTACATTTTTGGAGCACTTGGGGGGGTCTTTGCAAGCCTTCCCCCAACATACCCCTGCAGGGGGACAGGCCCGACCTAACACTCCCTTACTGAGTAAGTGCCCGCGGACGTTGGTGCAGATCATGAGATGCTCGTTCTGGGGACCTTCCTGGAGCCACTCGCTCCACTCGTGCGTCGAAGCTGCGTCGAACGTCAGTCGATGTGGGTCGACCCTGAGTCGAACCTGAGCCGAACCTGAGTCGAACCTGAGTCGAGCTTGAGTCGAGCTTGAGCCGAACTTGAGTCGAACTGGGGTCGAACAGATCCGTGAGGTGGGCTCCAGGAAGGTCCCCGAAACGAGCATCGAAAGCTCAGGACCCGCCCCTCGGGCGGCGTCTTCCCACAGCGCGCCCACGACCTCGTCGAGGTTTGTGCGGCCCTCCGGCGGCGGCGGCGGCGGCCGAGGCCCCCGCCCCCGCTGCGACCCCCGCGCGGAGTCCCTGGCGGAGTCGCGGCCCGAGCGCGGCGACTTGTGGTGCGACCTGCGCGCCGCCGCGCCCGCGCGCACGCCTGCCGCGGCCACGCCGCGGCCCTCCCCGCACCCTTGAGATCTACACGCCCAGAGAAGAACCCCAATCAATCGATAGTTTGAAATGGGATCGATACACACACACACACACACACACAAAAAAAAAAACACATGTATATATATATATAGAGAGAGAGAGAGAGAGAGAGAAATATCGATAAAAAAGATCGAACAAGAAACCTAGAACCCGGGAGCCCACCGAAATCGCACCCTTGAGATCTACACGCCCAGAGAAGAACCCCAATCAATCGATAGTTTGAAATGGGATCGATATATATATATACACACACACAAACACATGTATATATATAGAGAGAGAGAGAGAGAGAGAGAGAGAGAGAAAGATCGATAAAAAAGATCGAACAAGAAACCTAGAACCCGGGAGCCCACCGAAATCGGACCCGAACCAATGTCCAGGAACCCGGGAACCCAGAACAGGGAAATTGAGAACCCAGTCGAGAACCCAGCCGGCCACCCAAATCGACGGGAAACTTTCGCCTAATCTTTCAATTGCCGCTAGGACCCCTTCAGTGCAAGCACTGGTTGAAAAAAAAAAATGAGTACGATGCCCAACAGATGATGTCCAAAAGCGGCTACGGCCGCTGTCGGGCAGGCTGCCCTCTGTCTCGAGCAGCGCCCGCGGCGACACCGACAGCAAAGCCCGTCTCAAAATGACCACGGTTCTTTCCGCACCCATCTGGCTCGCACCGATGAGAGGAAGAGAGAGGACTGTGCAACGCAGGACCGGGGCAACATCGAATCGGGGTAAATCTACACCCTGCGAAATGCTTAAGAAATCATGGGTTCAGAAATTCATGGTCTCAGAAATGGAATAAAACCCAGAACTTCTATCAACAAATCGTGGGATTTACAGTGAAACATTAAGAACAATCGAGACTCTGGCCGAAAACTTCAGTTTTCTTAAGCATCGCCTAAGGTGTAAATCTAGAGCCTCTGAGAGCCTCACGGTCGGCGAACCGCGCCCTCGCGGCCGCACGCGCACTTCTCGCGCGGGGCATACGCCGCGCACAAAAACGCCCCGTCGATGCGCAGGGCCCCGGCCCCGGCCCAGAGAGGCCCGCCCCGGGAGGAGGCCGCGGATATACGGATGTGCCGTCTGCCCACGGAGATCGGGCGGCCATGACACCTCACAACGACCCGACGGGAGGAGGAGGAGGAGGAGGAGGAGGAGGAGGAGGAGGAGGAGGAGGAGGAGGAGGAGGAGGAGGAGGAGGACGAGGAGGAAGCTCGGGAAGCTCGAACAAGAGGGGGTCGGAGCAATGCTACGCCCCCCCCAAGGAGGAGGAGGAGGAGGAGGAGGAGGAGGAGGAGGAGGAGGAGGAGGAGGAGCAGGAGGAGGAGTTTGTATCGGGCGCCGCGACCTTCTCGGAGAACGCTCTGAGAGCCTTCGGGAGCGCCCTGGGAGCGGTGCATCCCGATCCTGGGCCCGCTTCAAAAACTGTGCACGTGCACCTTCTGCGGCAATCCCTGGGAGCCTCCCATGTCCTCCTGGACACCACGGATACAGTGGAGGCCAGTCCACAAGAAAGAAACCCAATCCTGAGACTCCAGGGCGTCCATTGATTTTTGGTGTGGGAACGCCACGCTTTCCACATCAAAACCATGGAAACCCAAGAAACCCAGGGCACCCTGGATGCGAGCAGGGTGTTTCTTGGCACGGGCCCCCACTGAACAAGGGCGGCCCTGCATGGAACCCCCCTTCTCCTTGTTCGCTCCTGGCTGTGCCTCCCAGAAGAACCCCCACATAATCCAAGACGCTCTCACAAGGCCCCCAACACGGCCGGCCCAAGAGGGAGGTCACCAAGACTGCCAGGGATACCCCCAAGAGGCTCCGAAGAGGGCGCAAAGCGGTGCCACGCCCACAACATGGCTTTGAGGCGGCTGGAGGAGGAGGAGGAGGAGAAGGAGGAGGAGGAGGACGAGGAGGAGGAGGAGGAGGAGGAGGAGAGGGAGGAGGAGGAGGGGCCTGCAGGACGGTCAACAGGGCCTCCGAGAGCTCCCCCTCCAAGAGGCCCCCCGAACATCACAAAACGCTTCTACGAGAGCCCGACGGGAGCCTCGTTCCTCTCTCTCCTCTCGGCCTCCTCCTTGTGGTCGTGAGGCGTTATGCTCAGTCCTTCTCGTCTTCTTCGTCGACCGCATCACTCCCAGACCAGGCCAGCCGACACTGGACCGAACCAAACTCGACCGCTCAAAATCCGACCAAATCACAGCAAAATTCGCCGGCCCACCGGGCCAGAGGCGTGCTAAGATCTCCCGTGACTGGTTAACAATACATTCTAGTTCGCGCGCGCGGGGCGGCTTCTGGGGGCTCCCGGACGAAAAATACCCCGAGCAGGTCCCGGCCAGTGCGGCTCATAGATGGTTTTCCTCCTCGGCGCTGCCTTCCAAGCCTCCCAGAGCGCTCCAGCAACACGCCAGGAAGGGTCCAAGGGGCCCCGAGTCGCTGAAAGATTGCTCCAAGACGCCCATGCTGGTCTCCAGACGGCCCTAGACGCCGCCGAGAAGCTCCAAGAGAGCCTCAAGAGGCCCTCCAAGAGGGCCCCAACAAGCAACAATCGCCCCATTTCCTAAGTAACACTTGCATTTCTGGCGTAGATGACGTTCGGAGGTTCACAGCGTCCAAAAACTGTCCAAGAGCCCCCCAAGATCGCCGCAAGATGCCCCAACATGCTCCCAAGATGCGCCCAAGAGGGCTCCAAGACGATCCAAGAGGGCTGCCTTCCAGGCCTCCCAGAGCGCTCCAGGAACGCGCCAAGAAGGCTCCGAGACGCCCCCGAGA